TTCAGAAAAATGTATATATGGGAATGACAGCTAGCCATCTGTGGAAACCTGTTGAGACAGAACACTTGAACCGTTCTCTGAGCACGGCATTGCCATAGACTTGAACGTGCGCAGTCAAAATCGGCCATGTGTCAGGTTCAGCTTTGGGCGCCTGCTATTCCTTTCCTTTCACTTTTATTATTTTCCCTTTTTAAAAACAACGACTAAGTACAGTCGTAAGAAGGCACATTTAGAAATCCTGTGTATAGGTGTGGACATAGACCTAGATGTAGTCTAGGTAAGTCATCACTCCTCATCTCTGCTGCTCTGTATTCCCTAGTCCTTGTGTCAAACGGATGCCCCAGGGTTCTGTGCAATGAGTTAATGTTCTCCTCGTGCTCACCAAGCAGACACACTACGGTTCCCTTTCTCACAGCTGGAAATGGAAGTGTCCATCAAGATGAGACACTGCTTGGTGTCGCCTCTCCCTGAGCTGGTGACATGCACGTCATCGGAGCAATGCCACTCCGAGTGTGCTAGAGACCCGACAAAATGATCGACTCACATACAGTTTCATGTAAGGTGTTAATAAACTGTTTTAGCCAAGAGCTTTATTGCTTTATTCTACCCACTTCTTTGTGTCTCGCTTCCTGGTTTGGGTCCCTTTTAAAAAAATGGTTTTGCTTCATTTTTTGTTAACCACTTCAGATCCTTTTTGGAAAGTAATGGTATATAAACAAGCAATAATTTTAAGATGGAAATAAAAGTTAACTGGGCATGAAAACCATATGCCGAGTTAACCTTTCTAAAAAAGAAACATGGTAAATGCATTTTATAAGATTTACAATTGCCTTCCAATTTACAACATTGGCTCATGAAAAATTACAAAAATCCCCCAATTTGAGAAGCCTACCATAATAGATTTCCTACTATTTAGGTGTATATCATAAATTCATAATTTGTGCTTTATAAGGTAATATCTATAAAACCATACATGTTGTTAGGAAATTATATTTATGTTTCCTCCAAGAACATGACCCGCAGTACATGCCAAGATCCGGTCCAATTTAGCAATGGAGTATTTCAAAAGCGTACTTGACAAAAATATTATACATAATTTCACGCAGGATGACATTTTTAATGCCCCCTGGAGATATCTGAGAACAAAGCTGGAATGCGCCAAAATCTTCAAAGGTTGCGGTCCTCTGAGAAGAACCTGGTTCACATTTGTATTTCTAAGAAGCTACTTTTATGACTCTTGAACACGCTGCCCAGAAAGCTCTGCACACGTTTATGATGTTTCTGTGGCTTTGCCGGTCACACCTGCCGTGCCTCGGGGCCCCCGCTGCGAGGAAGGCCAGGACAACTCACTGGCTGGCTGGGAATCACGAAGGGATCCTGGAAGCCTCTCCCTCTCACTCCTCCCGTCCCCTTGTTTCCTTAGAGCCTCTTTGTTTGTTGTGTTGCTACAGGGCCAGAAAGGTTCCATTCAAATTGTTTCTGCTTCATAATGCAGAACTGTTTCACTTGCATCATTTCCCTGTTTACCTCACTAGTGAGGATATTGGCGCTGACCATCCTGCGTGTGCGGGGGCGGGATGCGAGGCGGGGTGGGTTCAGGCCCACGGCTCCTCCTCGCTGTTCTCACTGCCCTCGCGCCTTCCTGAGCGAGGCCAGAGACTCGGGAGGGCTGCCCTGCTATTCTAGTCTTGGGAGACCCCCCGAGCTGCTGAAGAGCTATGAACAGTGCTTCAGCCTTTTTTCCCTTTCTTATTTTCAGTGAACAACGTTGTTCTTTATAATTAATTCCTCATCCTCCTCCCGAGTCCTCCAAATAGGAAAGCAGGAGCTACAATGACCTGCTATAGAGAGAAACTTACGACGGGGGGTGGTGGGGGGGAGAGGCGGAGGGGGGCCCAGGGCTCGTGTTCTTTCTCTTCAAAGTAGAAAACAAAACATGATTTCAGGGGCGTCTATGTAAAGAACATTTGGTGATGTCCAAATCCAAACTTCCACAGACAAGGAGAACTCTCTCTGGCTGTGCACCCAAAGTGAAGTCAAAGCTCAAGCCAATGCCAGTTACTGACAAACCCTACTTTTCAACATTCTTGAAGAATCCCGGCTCCTTCCTTAGCAGCTCCTGACAAAGCGCCACTGGGCTTGTTGGCAAGTTTCTGCCTCTGGCAGAGCACAGAGGAGGCAGCCACCTCACAGGCCCCTCGCATCTGCTCCTGTCCTCTCTGAGCTGCTCCGGCTCTGGACAGAGAGGAAACTTGAGGGGAGGAATTCATCAAAAGGCTGCTGGAATACCCACGTCAACTTCCCTGAAAGCGGCATGCTCTCTCTTGCCTCCAGGCCTCCTCACACATCACTTCCTCTGCCTGGAACGCCTCTCACTGCTCAGCCTTCCCAGACTCTCCAAACACACCCTGACCCTTCTCCCAACCTGGCACTCATCACATTATCCTGGAACTCGTCAGAGCCCTAACCTCCAAATTGTCAACTCCACCAGCTCCCAGGGGGCAGCGACCATGAGTCTCTTGTTCGCATCACCAGCTATCGGAACTGTTTAGCACACAGAAGCCGCTAGAGGAACACTTACTGCATAAGTGGATAGATGTGTGAATGAATGAATGGGTAACAGACAGCATCCTAAATAGGGCGGTCTCACTCTGTTTATTTGGTCTTCAACAAATATAATTGGGTTCCCAGTCTATTCTGAAAACAGTTCTGTTGTAAGCAGAATGAGGATATAACTGAGCCTGTGCTCTGAGGGTCTGGAGGGAGATTCGAACCTGGAGGGTGAGGGAAACCAAAGTCACAGAAGACGAGTAGGGTTTTCTCCGAACGGAAGGACAGTGCTGGAGGCGGAGCTGTGAGAAGTGCTGGGGGGAAGTGCTTTAGGCTTCAGTGTGCGGCAGTGAACTCTGTGCCCCAGCACTTGGAGGAGGCATACGCTTCAGGAAAACAAGCCCGGCGGGCAGTGCAGTAACCAGGCTGAGAGTCACTGGAGATGTCCGTGAGAGACGGGGCCGGCCTGAACTAGATGACCGTAGTTGGGTGGGAAGGAGCGGGTCAGTCCAGATCGGCACCGGAACAACTGGGCTCGGGAGGCAGGGTGGGGAATGCCAGCTGTCTCCTCCCAATACACTGCTCCCCCTTCCCTACTTGGGGACATGCTAGCCCAGACTGTCTTTGCAGTCACTTGAGGCTTTGTGACCAAGCCCTGGGCCATGCAATATAAGTAGAAGTGACAAGTGCCACCTTCAGGCCAGGGCTTGACTAAGCCCCGAGGCAGAGGTCTTCAAAAGGGGGGGGGCATCACAAAGCAGAAAAGGCTTGCCTCACAAGCCTCCAGGTGTGGAGGTGTGGGGGCTTGCTCGGCAAATCGTGGGCCCCACCCTAGAGTTCCTGACGCAGTGGGCCTGCAGTGGGACCTGTCAATGAGCATTTCTAACAAGGTCTCAGGAGATGCTGAGATTGCTGGCCCGTGGACCACACTTTGAGAACCACTGCCCCGGGGGATGGGGGAGCCTACTACTGAAGGAGCGTGTGCCTCCAAATGGCTGCACTACAGAGAGCCCCCTCTCTGACCCGGACACCCTGCCAGCACCATTTGCAAGCATGAGATAGATTTCTACTGTGTTAACTCCTCCCACATTTGGGTCTGTTTGTTACAGTAGCTTAGCCAATCCTAATACAGGAGTGGAGAGCGAGGGAACATTTGAGCTGATTCCTAGATTTGGTGCTTGGGTAACTGGGGCAATAGTAAAGCAGGTTGGGATGGAAAGATGATGAATTAATTATCACAGTCATACTAAGCCCTCCACTCCACAAAGACTGGCCTGTTCACCCGCCCCGCCGCCGTCCAGGGCCCATCGGGCAGAAGGCGGCCTCTGCCTTTGCTGCTGTGTACCCACCCTCCCCCGTTTGCTGAGTCCTTCATGTTTTCTACGGCTGTCAGTGACTCTGCCCCAAAGGCTTCTCTCCTGCCTGCCAGCGTCCAGGCGGGAAGGAAACGGCTTCTCCCTCTAGGCTCCTGCGGCAGCCCCAGGGGCAGCCCGCGTTCTGGAGAACTTAATCTCCGCAGCCCCTGCTGCCCGGCTGCACACCATCAGCAACAAGGCACTTCGGCCTTTCCTGCCTCATCTGACTGCAAGCATGTGAGCTAATCTGGAGGTACACACACACACACACACACACACACACACACACTTTATTACTGCATATTAGCTGCGCTCACTGAACACTTCATGTTCAATGTATCGTTTCCACAAGTCTTGTGAGCAAGGACATTTGTTGAATTGAGCAAAGGAATTTATTTATGTGCCCAGGACAAGGAATTTAACCCTTCCAACCCGTACGACTCTCTCACGGGCCTGTGACATTTCAGCCAAAGCTCACCGGTCTCCGAAATGGCCCTACACGTCCCCATCCTCGTGTGGGCTCACCCTGTCCTCTGCCCACAAGGCCCTTCTGCTACCCCCTCGTCAAAGTCAAGTTCCAGCTCAAATCCTCCTCCTCCTCAGTGAGGCCTCTCGTGACACCGCTGACCAGGAAGAAGCCCCGCCTCCTCAGGGCGGTGCAGCATCTGGCCGCACCTCGTCATTCCCCGTCTCACGATGGCTGTCGTGCCGCCGTGTGGGTGGCTTGCTGCCCACCCCGCTTTCCGAGACGCCCCTCGGTCTGTGGTTCACAAAGAGCTCGCTTTCTTGTTTCCCAGAATGGCTATGTGTGAATTCACGTTTTGTGTCATTTTAATCATGTTAATGGCTTAGGTTTGGGGAGGGGATGGAGATTTTATCATGTACTTCATCTGCCAAGTTGAAAGCAGAAGCATAAAGAACATGTACCAACAAACAAATGAGCAACTGCCAAGTCATCTACAAATCCAGGAAAATACTCAGGCTTTGGCCTTAACGGGGGTCGGGGGGGCTGGAGGGGAGAACCTTTTCCCAGAAAGCTCTTGCTTTAGACACCGACTCCCCACTCGAAGCGAAGCCATGAGGGCCCCCCGTTACCTGTGGTGCTGAGGCCGGTGTACTCGGGGGACGGGTTGCTGACGGGGGAGGGGGGGTGTGGCACTTCCACGGACGTGGCCGACTTCGCCGGAGAAAAGGACGGCACCGGTGACGGAGTTGGCGGGGCGGCGTCCGTCAAGATGATCTCTTCTCGGACTTCTGCTACAGGCAGAGAAAAGGGCAGGTTCTCAGGGGCCAAGGTCAGGGCGAGTTGTCCTTAAGGGGCTTTGAAAAAGGAAATACACTTTCTAGTCTGTGTCACGTAAAGCCCTTCGTGGGTTTCCCACGAGGCAATTCCCACTTGCCACACACCCACTCTAAAGAAAAGGACATCATATTCTAAAGGAGGAAAGGTGTCACACCACTTGGCCGGACCACCGTAAGGACCTCCTTCAGGACACAGAGCTGCAGACAGAGGTGGGGAGCGCGGGAGTGGGGATACAGACCCAAGGGCCCAGGAGGGCCCCGCCGGCTTACCAGTGCTCCCTTCGCCCTTCATGGCTCGCATGAGCTCGTTGGCCCGCTCCTGGCAGTGCAGGGATTCCAGCAGGTAGAGCACGTAGTCGTCAAACATCAAGTGAATCAGGTGAAACGACCCTGGCAAGAGGAGATCCAGACGCAAGGGTGAGTCCTGCCAGCTCCCGCACGCCCCTCCTCCCGGTCCACAGCACGGGTTACACCGTGTCGTCGTGCTCTGTTCAGGACACGCACGCCCCGCTCATCAGCGAGGCTCTCCGCAGGGGGACAGGCTGCTCTCCTGTGCGTATCCGCAGCCTAATCGAGCGCTTAGCGTAGGTAAGGGTCACTCACATTTTGTGGTAATGGAGCCTTTCCCTCGCTCAGTCTGTTAATGTGACACCATCAGAGATGGCACCTGTGGAGCCAGCTGTCCCAGTGCCTCTGAGCTCCCCCATATGCACTGGCCTCATCGTCATCTGAGCGCCTCGTTCAGTCTTATTTTTTTTTTAAGATTTTATTTATTTTTAGAGAGAGGGGAAGGGAGGGAGAAAGGGAGAGAGAGAAACATTGATGCGCGAGAGAAACATCGGATCCACTGCTGCTTGCACACCCCCAATTGGGGACTCGGCCCACAACCCACGCATGTGCCCTGAGTGGGAATTGAACCGCTAATCTTTCAGTTTGCAGGATGGTGCACAACCCACTGAGCCACACCAGCCAGGGCTTGCTCAGTCTTACTTCTTCCACCAGCACACCACCTTAATTCCCGGACTGGACTTGAAGGGAGTCCGTGGCAGGAACATCGCCTTCTAGTTCATCGGTATCTGCCAATTACCTAATTCTAGGAAGAGAACTGAAATTTTAAGTTTACAATGCCGAATTATTTCCTTAAATGTTTCTAAGACCTTCATTTAGCACATGGTTCTCAGAAGAAGTATTACATTGAAATGTATTTTGGTATTTTCAAGTGGTTCTCTCCATTTTCAACTTACAGTAAGCTCTTTCATTCAAAGGGATGTGAACAATAATTTTAGAAGGTTTTCCAGTGCCGGTCCCTGTGCTCAAAGCTGTGTATTCTCTGATGTGATCTCTGCAACCACCCTGCAGGGGAGTTGTTTTTTATGCCTATTTTGCAAGTCAAGTGCTTGTGCAAGATGACACAATTCATAAATAATATATTATTCCCAAACCATCTTTTCTTCCATGTCATGCTCCACTGGGCCATGGAGTGGCCCACGTATGATAGGTGCTCAGTCACTTATGTACATCCCCCACCCCACCCCCTTCTTCTCAGATAGATTGATTATTGTGGCCCAGGAAAGCTACGGAGGAAAGCCTTTGGCTTCCCTCTGAGGCCCCTGGATGCCCAGCAGCAGGCCGTGTGCATCTATACCTTTCCCTGCTCTCTCCAGAGCCGGTCACACCTCCCATCCTGTGCCCACAGGGCTCCAGGCCAAAGGCCCCCATCCTGTACCTTCTGCACATTCTTCCTCCACCCCCTGGGGGGCTGTGTCTGTTTTTCAAACCCACTTGGAATTTAGCGAGGTTCAGGTTTTGCTGAGTCACCGTGAGACGCTGTCTCCAAAACTAAACTTTCCATCCACTTCCCCAAAATGGGACTTTTGAATCACTGACGACGTACAGCATTATGGGTAATTGCATGGGTGCTGGGTCAAACCGCCCAGGTTGAGATCCAGCTCTGCCACTTAGTCACTGGGACCTTAGATGAGTTACTCTTTGTAAATGTTAAGGACAAATTAAGCTGTTTATTGAGGCCTTGCTCTGTGGCAGGCACTATGTTTAACAACCGTAGATTTGCTGTTGCCATTAATCCTCAGCACAATTGTATGAGACGAGTGACACTCTCCTTTTGCAGAGGAGGAAATTGAAGCCTACAGTGTTAAAACGGCAATGTGATTGTCCAATGTTGCACAGTTATCACGTGGCAGGACGGGACTTGAACCCATGACTGTCTAATTCTGTAATTGCTCCTCAGTTATTCTGCACCTTGGCCCTCTAAAAGGGAGGTAGTAAAATCTATGTTACAGAAATACCACAGTGAGGAAGAGTACACACGAGGTGCTTACTAAATGGTAACTATTGTTTCTTATCTCTAAGGTCTCTTGTGCTTCTAATGTTCTAAGATCCTGTAACTCTTTTGTTTATAGTCAAAGAAGTCAAAAGATAGCATTCGAATCCTTCAAAGGAAACTATCTTCAAAATGAAGAGATATTTGCTGAGATGTTGCTCTGCGTCAACAAGCACGGAGAGAAACATACTAGGAAACAATGAATTAGAATGGAGAAATGGAAGCTAGACGATAAAAACAACGGGTTTAGACTGGCTTTAACACAAACAGGCACCTTAGGCATCGTCTCTACAACCCTCCTGTTTTGAAGACCTGGTAAATAGAAGAATGCCCAGGGCCACGCTGCAAGAGATCAGAGCTGGGCTAGAGATGGTGCTGACCTGGGGCTCCAAGCTCTCTTCCATAACGGCCCTGATGGGTTACCCTGTGGGTCTGAAGACTTTCAGTCGTCTCTCAAACAAATCTGTAGAGCTGCTGCTTCCTGCCTTCTCTGGTGCTAAGCGCTCTGAGCAGAAAGGACACAGAAAGCTTCGCAGCCCCTGACTCCACAAAAGCTACAGTGTCCTTAGTGAGCAGAAATCAATCATTAAGATTACTGGGCAACAAACAGATCAGTGCCGGAGTGTCCTGACCACGGGGGCAGTGCAAACAGGGAAGGGGAAAGTGACAAGGAGACACAGAAGGACTGGCGAGGAGGGAGGGTAGGGGCAGCAGGACCTGGGCCGGGGTGGGGAAAGAGTGGACCCGGGAGAGGAAGAGAAAAACATCCAAGACAGAGTCCAATGGGAGAAAGGTGATTATAGCGAACGCCCCTGCCTTATTTCTCTCCTTACCACTTATCACCATTTGTTGTACTGTATATTCAACTCCTCATTGTTATCTAGTGCCTTCCTCCACTAGACTGTACGCTCCATGGATGCAGGGATTTTTATCTGTTTTTTCCCCCATTTCCCTATACCCAGTGTCTAGGAGAGTGCCAGGCATATGGTAGAGGCTCCGTGAATATTTGTTAGATGACTGGATCACATGGGCAAGCACTGACCACTGAGCCCATGCGCTGTGCTATGCTCTTTTAATTTTCCAGCACCATGAAGAAGATATTATTATCTTCAACTGATACATGGGGAAGCGAAGGCTCGGAGGGTTTAAATAACTTGCCTAAAGTCACAGAGCTAGTGAGCATCAGAGCCTGTTATGAAAAAAAGTATTAGGACAGAGACAAAAAGCGATTTGTTTTGCTGTTGTTGTTATGTGTTACATTATGTTGTTAACATAATTAATTGCATGTTATAGTTTCAAAGCTTTTCTTTTTTTTCTTGTGAAAAATTTCAAACATATAGAAAGGTATAGGGAATTAAAAAATGAACACCAGTGTACTCACCGCCTGGCTTTATTTAGTATTCCAGGACCTAAGCATTCCCTAACTACTCCTTGAAGATTCTCCTCCCACCACCCATGTGGTATTGTTTCCTAGAGTTTGGGTTGACCCTTTGTAAACACATGAAATTAGTTTTCAAATTAGAATCAATAGTTCATTGAATTTGTTGACAAATTTAAGAATTTCTCGCACCTTAAAATGGGGGCCTCAAATGCTCTGACATTCCACCCAGGGGGAGACTGGGGCTACATACCCCCTTCCGTCACAGCAGGCTCGTGACTGTTCTGACCAACAGCGTGGAGGAAGCGGCCCTGCGTAACTTCTAAGGTTGGGTCATAAAAGGCAGTGCGGCTCCCTGGCGGCTTGGAATGCTCACCGTGGGGCCCTGAGCTCACCCGCTGCATTGTTTAGCGGTTCGAAAGCCACCAGGCTGTGAGGAAACTAAGCCGCATGCAAGGGTCACCCGAGGGCACCTTGTTCTGCAGCCCCGGACGTCACATCGTCCCAGCGCAGGCACCAGACACGCGGGTGAAGATGCCTCCAGCTGTGGACTCACTACCAGCTTCTGAGACTCCCCACCCAAGGCCCCAGACATCGCAGAGCAGGGAAAGCATCCCTGCTGTGCTCTGTCCAGATTCCTGACCCCCAGAACCCATAAGCCCAGTAAGAAAATGATTGTTTTAAGCAACTAAGCTTTGGAGTAATTTGTTACACAGCAAAATGAACTAGAACATGGTTGCTTCTTATACTCCAGACCCTCGCTGTGGCTTTCCTGTCCCTCTAGCTGACATGAATTCTTTAGTGCTTTTTCTTTTTTTAGGTGGAGTTCTATGGGTGCAGAGTCCCTTATCTTTGTGGATCTCTGAATATGTCTCCACTTTGCCCTCACTCTTGAATAATGGTTGACAGTTCTTTGTTCTCAACACTTAAAAGATAGCATGCCATTGTCTCCTGGTACCACTTGTGACTCACGATAGTCTAATTACTGTTCCTTTTTCTCATAGCTTTAATTTTTTTTTAAACAAAATCCATCGATATGGATTTTTTAAAACCATCACTGAGGGCCAAATGAATCTGTGCAGCCTTTTTGTCCATGCACCTGGGCCCAGGGTATGTGTCTGAACTGTGGCCACTGGAAAAGGACAGGTCTCGTGGTCGGGCAGATTGAATTGTGAAGCAGAGCCCTACCACTTGCCCTGTTAATCTGGGGCAAGAACATTCTCTGAGCTCTCTTTCCCTCCCCGTTGAAAGGTCCCTGTTACTGCCTGTCTACCTTGCAGAGTTCACGTGAGAGTGAACTGGTAGTACATGCTTTCTACACCTGTGTCGTATTGAGTGCCACTGTCCTGTTTGTGCATCATGTTCTGTCACATGGAGGGCAGGAGTAGGGGACCTCAACAGTGTTTGTGAGAATTAAATCAGAGCGCCTAATATCACGTGTCAGGTGTGCTAGGCTCTCCGTGGATGTTACTTTGTTTCCGTTAGTAGTGCTTCACTGGAGAAAGGAGAGACGGCGGCAGTGTGGCTGAGAGAAGTCCACGGGCAAACCCCTCCCCTCTCTGGGCCCATGCCCCCTCTCCTGCAAAGAGGGAGAGCAGTTTCGGCTTCCGGGTGCTCGGTGGGGGGCCGTGAGCAACACTTCTGACACCAGGCCCCTGCCACGTAGCAGGTCCTGGGTAAGAGAGCCAGGCCGGCCCTCCGAGCCCAGAGAAGCGGTCTGGAAGGCTGTCGCGGCCACTGGGTCTGGCAGCCACTCCCAGACAGAACCACACCAATGTTATGTGGCCCTCCAGCCGAATGAGTGAACTTCACTGCTAGACCCGAAAACAAGTGTGTAAAAATGTGGAAACCTGGGGAATGATGTGCGATCCTGCTCCCTCGGCCCTCAGACCCAGGACTGCTTTCAAACTGTTTCGTGCCGAAGTAGCTCTGGGAACCCTTGCTGCCTTCCAGCTGCTCCCGAGAAACCAGGGGCAACAGGCGAAGCCCCAGAGCGAGACGGCAGAGGCACCTGCGCTGACTGGGCGTCCAGGGGCCTAAGAGCTGAAATCAGAGCAGGCGACTGACAATATGTTGTCTTTTTTTTTTTAAATAAAAATTCTATAATTTCCTCAGCCTACTAGGACTGAAAGCTCACTGCCTTCTAGCCGACCTCTGCTGACTAATTTTGCTAGAAACTGCCGTTTGCAGCAAAGAGAGAGAGTCTAGCTGCTTTAGCTCACGGCATGGGCTCTTGCGGTGCAAAGGAACCGGGGAGGAAAGAGTGGAAGGGAATTAAGGAGAAGAAAGGGGCCAACTGCCTCTGGAAGAGGCTGTTCTGGGGAGAAGTGACGGAGCCCCCACGGGCCCACCGTCGTGTCCCGCACGAACACTGTGATGGTCAGCCTGGTGCGCCAGCACACGGCCCCTGCGCCACGCACGCACGGCGCCCGGGTCATGGGGGAGCGATAAGATGCTCGGAGCTGGCCCTGGCGGCTGGGGGAGGGGCCAGGGAACAGAAGGCTCTTTTTCCTAATTAGCTGTTTTTATACAGGGAACACATGACCCAAACACAACCACCAACTGTGTCTTTGACATATACAGGCAGAAAGGGGGAGCGGGGCTTTTGTCTGCCGCAAATTCTTTCAACTTGCCTGTCACCCCAAGCTGCAGACCTCCACAATGAGTCGGATGAGTGGGAGCATTTCAGATAGTTTGCAAAACGGACTTGGAAGCAGATATTTCAACCCGTTTGGGGTCAAAAAATACTGCAAAAGAGATATTGGGTTGCTGTTTCTTTCTCTCCTTTTCTAAAAGGTCTGCAACCATTTTTGCCATTTGCCTGAGTTTCCAGTATATCCCAAAACTGTGTGCGGCTCAGAAAGAAAGAAGCACATTTTAAGGAGCAATATTTCTTAGTAATAAATGCAGCCCATTCATAAAACCCTAATTGTTTTACTGTCCAAACTGCCTTTATCAGATTGCCTGTTAACTTAGTAAAAACACATGAATTTCAAAGAACACTGTAGTGAATTACTCTCTCCCTGTTGAAAGAAGGGTACTTGATAACATACATAGTCAGCTTAAGAATCAGCAAGTTGATTAAAATAAAAGGCAATGCAAGAAAAAGAGGTTCGCTCCGTGGATGTGTATCCGTGTGCGATATTGTTGATTCTCTGATTCTGAAACAATGAAAAAAATCTCAAATATTTTTCAACCACCCGCTTAACTGAAAGCAGCTCTGCACCAATGATTTTCCCAGAGCCAGAGGCAACATGTGCTAACACTAACTGCGTTGAACTGGAAGTCATCAGAGTGCTGCGCCTGGTGGCACTGGCCACGTAGCAGTCAGCAGGGCATTTCCACCCGCAGCCCAAAGCGCCCGCGGCCACAGTGCGGGCAGGTTCGGGGACCTTCCCGACGCTGAGATGAAAGAAATCCACCACAAAACGCGGCCGCAATTGGGTAAACACAGTCTTTCACGGACGGAGCTGTTTAGAAGAAATAGCGCCTTCTTTGTTTCACCCCATATTCACTGGGTTGTATAGCACAACTGGAAAACGGTGACTAGACCATACAAAGCTCGATGGAAAAGTGTCAAATTAAACCCCGAGCAAACCCCAGAGCTGATTGGCTTAATTGGAGATAATGAGAAGCGAAACCACATCTCTACTTGCAAAGTAAAATAGAGAGCTGAAGCAATTACCCAGAAAATTTACCAACAGCCCTTTGCTGAAATGTCTGCAAAACTGAGGGCCAAGTAGTTTGAGGTTTCCCATGTCTGATGATGCCTTCAAGTCCCCCCTCACTTTGCGAATGATGACCGGGACTCAATGCATCCTCCATTCTTTCCAAGAAGAAACAGAACACTGTGTCCCACAAGGTGGCACGGCAGTCACCCCGAGTCGGGGAGTAGGTTCCCGCCCGCAGAGACCGGCACAAACACCCCTGGGGCAGACTTCAAGTCCCGTACACTGGAGAACAGCAGCTGAGGACCTGGGGTAGAGATGTCTCCTGGGGGTGAGGAAAGCCCGAGGGGTCAGTAAAACAAGAGGAAATTGAATGGGAAGTCCTCTTCCTGGGACCAGACGGGGGCACGTTTGTAAGGAAAACTCTAGACAGCCTATGCATTGCTGGAGTGTCCACCAGGCATTTTGCAAATGTTCGAACTCGGGGCTTCATCGGGTGCCATCAGAGGCAGAGCGGACTGTGGGGTCCTGCAAGACAGTCCTGTGGAGGCAGCGATCTCTGGGCACATCCGGCAGGAGGGGAGCACAGCCCCTGCCCCTCATTGCTCCCTAAGCTCAAACACTGCCTGTGTGCGGGCTTCTCCTTTCCAGGCTTGTACACGTCACCTGGAACACTTCACAGCGTCCTCTCTCTCCCTAAAAGGTCTAAGAATACGGTGTCCCCCCAGAACAGATACATGTCAGGGTAATGTCCCTGTGGCCGCAGAGACAGTAAGAAAGGCTGCGGCTGACTCCGAGAGGTGACCTCGATGCACAGAGCCCGGAGGAAAGAAGTGTGGGGACGCGGGGAGGGCTGGGGTGGCCTTACCGAAGCTGGGGGCACTGTGCAAGGTCATGTCCCGGATCACCCTGGTGCCGAAACAGGACCACATCAAGAGGAACTGCTGGGCCACTTTCCTCAGGGACCCTTGTCTCTTGGCAGCCACCTACAAGAAAGTGAATGCCTTTAACAGGGGTGGACTGGCGCTTTCATTTATTGCTGTCTTTGGAAATTCACAGGAAGGCTTATGGAAGGTCTCCAAGTTCCAAGTCTGGAGCAATGGTTTTCAGCTTTCTTTGTATCAGTGAGAAAATACACTTTAGAAAATGAAATCTTTTGTCAAGGCCCAACGTACATAACAGATACCAGAGATGCTGACCGGGCTGAATCAGGGGAGGAAGACTCAGAGTGTGGCCTCCTACAGGAGGCCCCCGGCCCCTCCTGAGGGGTCCCGGCCCCGCCTCACAACCCTGGGGCACCGTGGCTGCTGAGGAACATTCAGGTGGTGCACTGTGGGGCCCTGCACTGCCCAGGTGCCACGAAGGTGAGGGACGGGCTGCGCTCCCCAGGGCTGCCCCTCCCCCCTCCTGCTCACCAACCTTCACAACGCAGCGGTCCACCATGGTGTCCAGCCACTCGATGTAGGACTCGATGGGAGACTGCTCCTCCAGCAGGTGGTCAAACTCCTGATACACTGCCAAACAAAGGAGAGCCCCACCATCACCGCACTGTGTGCAAACAGAGACGCACCTTCTCAAAGAAACAGAGGCGCAAAACTGAATAAACGAAAACTCCAAAGCCTCAGCAGGGCATTCGAGGCTTTAGGCAACATGCCCCAACTTACCTGTCCGGGCTCACCCTCCTTGCCTGTGAACGCCTTCAACCCTGGCCACCCCTCGCTCCTTGTCATACCCCCAAGTCCTGCTTTCGCAGGCACTGCCCTCTGCTCGGACTGCTGGGTTCTTAATGGCCCAGGCGAAATGACCCTTCTGTGAGACCCTTTCGACCCTCTCCACGGCCCCTGCCAGCAGGGCCAATCACTCCCCTGCACACGTCCATAGCACTTTATTTCCTGTATTCTGCCTTCATCGCGCTGCTCATCCTACGGTGCTACAGCCGGAGCGTGCGTGTGTGGGCATGTGTGGGCGTGTGTCCCGCCTGCTCTCCGTCCGCTGTCCTTCGCAGCCGTGACGCCGCTGCTCCCCAGGGCGCGCTGGCTCGTGTGAGCGGACCGGCTCCCTGTGGCTCCCTTGCTGTCGGCCCCCTGGGAGGGCACGTCCGATCATTCAAACAGCATATCTTGCCATATATAATGCGCACTCACGGTTTTTGTGCGCATCATCCACAGGATTGTTATACCCATCGGATGTAACCATAGTACCCATGTATAATGTGCATCCTTAGTTTTCCCTCAAACACTTGGGCAACAAAGTGCGCATTGTACACAGCAAAATACGGTATTTCTAAACCACAGCTATGCTGGGCAGTAACCCGACCAGCTTCTCAGTGCTCAGCTTAAGTAGCACTAATTACTACTTAAGTAGTAGATGCTTAATAAATATCTGTGGAATGAAGGAAGTAATCACTGTGCCCTCAGTTTCGGCATGAGTAAAAGGCGGGTAATTGTCCCACTGTACAACCTGTCTCCAGCTGCGAGTCAAATAACTGAGCCAGGAAGTGCTTTGCAATCAGTGGAGCGCTTTGGAAAATAGACACTTCTCTGTGGTGGTCTCCAATTTGAAACATCTCTTTTCAATGCATTTGTGTGCGTGTGTGTGTGTGTGTTTGTATGTGGAGCTCAATAAATCAAACCACAATTCAAGACCCACACATGCCTATAGTTTTCATTTGTCTGAGCAATTTTATTATTGTCCTATTTCACCGGAACGGCCCAGTTGCCCTGTTTTACTTAGTTCACAGCTGGTACAGGAGGTCAGCTTCCAAGACCACCGGAAGGTCCTAACACTGTAGAATAAGAAGCAGCTTTCAAAGTCCATTTAGGGGCTTCTGGCCAAGATGGAGGTGTAGGTAAACATGGCTTGCCTCCTCACACCACCACAGCAAAAACACAATTAGACGACAAAATATCACCTAGACTCATCAGAAAACTGAGCAGTATGGGAGTCCGACAACTATGGAATTAAAAAAGCCACATTCTTCCAAACGTGTAGGGGAGTGGAGACGCAGAGACACGTGGAGAGGTGTGGAGACGTGGAACAGGCAGCCCCACACCCACGTGTGGTAGGTAGAAATCAGGGGGGATACACCTCAGGAGCGAGGGATCCCAGTCCCGCATCTGACCACTCAGCCCAGGGTTCCAGCACCAGGAAGATAAGTCCCCATAATTCTGGCTGTAAAAGCTAGTGGGGGATGGGGCAGCAGAAGAAACTGGGGGGTTCTCAGGAGTCTCCTCTTAAAGAGCCCACAGTGGACTTAGAACTTATGCAGACTCCCTCCCTCTGGGCTTCAGCACCAGGGCAAAGCAGGAAGGGCACCAGTGGCACACGGGGAGAAAGTGAAGAGTCTGGCATCAGGGTGAGTGCCAGGAGACAGCCTCCTCCTGGACAGAACTCCAGAGGCCAGGCAGCTGCATCGTCCCCTCTCTGAGCCTTCCCCCACACAGAGCCACAGAGCTGTGACACAGGTTGCCTCGCCCTGGCGATTACCTAAGGCTCCGCCCCATCCAACTTACCAGGGTGCTTGTTTACAATAGGCCACACTACTAAGACAGGGAGTCAAAGCAGAAACAAACACAGGGAAGCTGCCAAAATGAGGAGACAAAGAAATATGGCCCAAATGAAAGAACAGAATGAAATTCCAGAAAAAGAACGACACAAAATGGAGATAAGCAATCTATCAGATGCAGGATTCAAAACACTGGCTACTAGGATGCTACAGGAACTCATGGGGTACTTTAACATCATGAAAAAGACCCAGGCAGAAATGAAGGTTACACTAAGTGAAATAAAGAGAAATGTACAGGGAACCAACAGTGGAGCAGATGAAGCCAAGAATCAAATCAATGATTTGGAACATAAGGCAGAAAAAATCACTCAATCAGAACAGCAAGAACAAAAAACAATCCCCTCCTCCAAAAAAAGAGAAGAAGATAGGCTAAGGAATCTCTGGGACATCTTCAAATGTAACATATTTGAATCATAGGGGTGCCAGAAAAAGAAGAGAAAGAGCAAGAAATTGAAACTTATTTGAAAAAATAATGGAAACTTCCCTAATTTGGTGAAGGAAACAGACATACAAGTCCAGGAAGCACAGAGAGTCCCAAACAAGATGGACCCAAAGAGGAACACACCAAGACACATCATAATATGCCAAAGGTTAAAGATAAAGAGATAATCTTAAAAACAGCAAGAGAAAAGTAGAGAGTATTACCTACAAAGGAGTTCCCATGAAACTGTCAGCTGATTTCTCAGAAGAAACTTTGCAGGCAATAAGGGACCGGCAAGAAGTATTCAAAGTGATGAAAAGCAAGGACCTACATCCAAGATTGCTCTATCCAGCAAAGCTTTCATTTAGAATGGAAGGACAGATAAAGTGCTTTCCAGATAAGATCAAGTTAAAGGAGTTCATCATCACCAAGCTACTATTATATGAAATGTTAAAGGAACTCATTTAAGAAAAAGAAGATGCTCAAAACTATGAACATTAAAATGACAATAAATTCACAACTATTAAGAATAGAATCTAAAAAACAAACCGAGCAAACAAGCAGAACAGGAACAGAATCATCGATATGGAAATCATTTGGAGGGTTATCAGCTTGGAGGGGGAAGGGGGAAAATGGGGAAAAGGTGCAGGGATTAAGGAGCACAAACTGGTAGGTACAGAATAGCCAGGGGGATGTTAAGAACAGTATAGGACATGGAGAAGCCAAAGAACTTATACGCATGACTTACAGGCATGAACTAAGTGGGGGGATTGCTGGAGGAATGGGGGTACCAGGTGGAGAGGGGCAAAGAGGGAAAAATTGGGACAACTTTAATATCATTATCAATAAAATATATTAAAAAGTAAAAGTCCATTTACTTGATCTGCCTTGTTTTATAGATGAGGAAGCTAGGTCCTAACGAGATGGAATGACCCACTCAAAATCAGAGGGTGCGTCAGTGATGCAGCAGGGAGGGACTGGAACCCAGGTCTCTGAGTTTCTCATTGGTTGGTTGTTCTTTCACTCTTTGTAACACTGTTTCTCATTGGTTGGTTGTTCTTTTACTCCTTGTAACACTGTGTATCTGAGCGACAGTGCTTCTTCAATCAGCAATGATGATGGTGGTGGCAAAGCAATTACTTGGTGCTTGCCACGTGCCAGGCATTCTTCTAAAAGTGTTACGTGGACACACTCACTTAACCTTTGCCGATCCCAGGAACGTGCATGTCATGAGACCAGAGTCTGGAACTGCGTGGTACGCAGGAGTTTCCCAGGTGCCCTTTTTGTGTTCCAGTGTTCGCTGAGTAAGTGGATGAGCCACCCGAGGAGGTAGGCACTCTTAGTACCCACCCCCTATTTTACAAATGAGGAAACTGAGGCACTGTGAAACAAGTAACTTTCCAGAGGTTCAGAGCTGGTGGAATGGTGGAGGCAAGTTTAAAACACGGCCGGACTCCAGTGCATGCCTTCCAGCCACCTCGTGTCCTAGCGCTACACTGTGTGACAGGCAGGGGTGCACAGGGTCCCGTTCCAGCCCTCTGCATCGCCCCCCTTCCACGGATCTGGAGGCCGAGTCACGGTGCACAGGAGGCAGGGTTTGGAGCCCAGCCCCACGCTCTCACCATGGTACCACTCACTCCTTCCCACTCCTTGCTCAAGTCCCAGCGTGCACTCTTCAGCTGAAGGTAAGCAGAGCGTTCCCAGGCAGGACCCACATCCCGGGTGTCATGGTGACCCCCTAAGGCAGGAACCCGCAGGTGTGTCACCTGGTTGTAAGGAAAGGAGAGTGCACCACACAGCTGCACCTGAGCCTGCTCAAACTGACCTTTGGTCCGGCTCCCTGTGTTCAGGGACCATCCCCCAGCTGCCGGGAGGGGCAGGGATGACACCCCAGTGCCAGGCCATCTGCCTTCAGACCCGGTGCCCTTCCCGCAGCCCCCTCTTCCTGGAACTGCATCCTCTTCTGTGTCCTCTTCGGTAAGACGGGACACACTTGTAATTGCTTGTGCAACTTCTAATTCTCCATTAGCCCAGCTCCCGCTACGGGAAGGGCAGTGTCCATCTTATTCACTGCTCCTTGCCCAGCATCTACCACAGTGCCTAACCCGGGACGGGCACTCAGCAAGCACCAGCTGGGCTGAACTGAACTGCATCACTCCTGTCCTCTAGAAGAAGAACACAGCCACGCCCTTCATGGGCACCATTACGCCTCAGGCCTGAGAGAGCTGGAGGAGCAAGCCCGCAAGGCTCTTTAGTGGAGAGGCGGCCACAGCTTCTGGGGGCGACTGTAGCAGCAGAGGCTCGGCCCGGCTGGTCCCTAGAGTAAGCGATGGCGATTGTGCTTTTCCCCTAGGAGTCTGGGTCTGAGTTCCCTTCCCACACAAGGTGTTGAGGGGAGAAGAGAGCTCGGCATGTTTAGCAGGACTAGGAGGTGGGGTGTTCTCGGCTCCCACAGATCTGTCTGGTCTCGCACGGACATTCCTGGCACCTCCCCCCCGTGTGGCCCAGGCTGAGGTCCCAGGCACACGGCCATCAGAGACGCAGCCTGGGTAGTTGGGGTGCTCGCAGCCATGACTGCCATTGGCCCCCCAGCAGGGAGCAGGGGAAAGCAGAGAGGAAGCGTGACGGGAAGAACTCGGGGAGATGCCGTGACAGCACTAGTGCCTGGTGGGAAAGCTGGGACTAGGCTGGGGTCCAAGGTCCAGCTCTGCCTCCTGGGTTAACGGCCACCAGCTCCCTGAGGCTGGGTTCTCACACCTGCAAGGCGGGGCGATGGGAGAATCCCCCTCGTGGGGCCAATGTGGAGACCGAGAGCGTGCACACAGTGGGTCTGACACAGGGCCTGGCGGAGGGCGGGCAGTCTATAGCTGGTCATTTCACCCCCGACAGTCCTGACTGGACAGCAGGCTGGGACTGCACAGAGCAGGGAAGGAGGGCCTGAGAGGGGCTCTGGGGCTGACGAGGGGGGAAGCCCCAGGGAGGGTCCATAGGGCACACAGTTTTGCCTGTTCCATCTGCTTTTGGAGAGCGCTCAAAATGGGGGAAGGGTCTCTAACGGGAACAGTCGGGGGACCTTGTTTGCTTGTGAACACCACCTGCTCAGACAGACTAATGCAGACAGCCTCCTCGGCATCAGTGTCGCAGCCGTATACTGGAAATGAGGGGCCTCGGGCTCTTGGTAGAACAGGCCCCTCTTCTCCGGGGTGCAGCCAGTCCATAACTTCCTGCCATTAGGATCTGGGGCTCACCCCGTTTAGAAGGTGAGGGTGTAGCAGCTGCTATCTCCCCCCAACCCCCTTCTCAGCACCAACCTCTGAGAGAGGTGCTGGGAGGAGTGTGGACACCCTTGTGCCCCCCTTTCCCCAGAGGCAGGAGAAAGGCAGGCCGTGCAAAGTAAGGAGGTGACGAGGACCCTGACCCGGGGTCCCCAGGCCACAGGGTGCCCGGAGCAGCAGGCTGTGACCAAGGGATGCACTAGCAACAGTGGTGTGCTCCGGCCCTTGCCTGTCCTCTGCTGCCACATCAGGATACTGGGAGCAGTGTTCTTGCTGTCTCTGTCCACGGGCACATGAACACATGTTCGCAGACGTAAATCACTACCCATCCCCTTCTCCAACATTGCAGGTGACCAGGAGGGTCCACCTGCCAGTAGGGGGGCCGACGCACTGACCCTCACTGAAAAGCAGGCAGCCCGTCCAGCTGAGCCGAGGCTGACATGCCCCGAGAGGCCACAAGCTCTGTTCTCATTTTCTCTGCCGCCCACGGAACTATGCCTGGCACCAAGGGTGCTGTGTGAGGCTCGCTGCCTGATGATGATGCAGACTGCCCGGTGCTCCCACACCCACCTTCCCCAGCAATGTGGACACAGGTCCTCTTAAATCAATGAGCGCTCCCTCTGGGCTGACCCATTTAACACGAAGTACACGTCGGGGCGGTGCGGGGGGAGTCGTATGGGGAAGGACAGTGGGATGCCACAAATATCTCCCAAGATACTTTCTCTTTCTTTCTTTAAAAAAAAAAATCCAAACGACACAGCCCCGGTGGCACAGCTTACACTGGATGATGAGTTTCCGGTGCTCCTCGCGCGAGTCCTCCATGGTGTACAGGGTTTGCTTGGTGATGCTGTTGAGGTCCACGTTCCTCCAGTCCTCCAGCATCTGGAACGTGATGTCCGCGCTGTGGATCACCGTCCGCGACGCCTGGAACCCAACCCAGGCAACGCATTAGCTCACGGCTTGTTAGGTGAACAAGCCCCCTCGCTTCCTGTCCCTTAAGCCTTTTTAACAGGATCTGCCAACGGTAGTTCGCAAACTACTCTGACGTTCAGGCAAACTCAATTGTAGGAAATAAGCAGGTAAGTCCATAACTCAGAAGATCCGTACACTGTTTTCTCTTGTGGCTCTCTCACACCCGCCTCCCCTTCTCTGCAAAAACAAACAAACAAACAAAATACCCATGACCCCAAGGGCCCGACCCTTGCTGGTCCCGGCCCCTTTGGTCTCAATCCCGTGGAGAATGGGATGAGGCCCGGAGGGCCGTCCACTTTCTGAGGTGAGCCTGTGGGACGGAGCTTGTGCTGAGTAGCCCCTCCATCTTCCAGCGCTGGAGAAGCGTCACTCCCAGACTGAGAGGCAGTCAGTCCTGCTGCCCCTGGGCCTGTGATAGTCTGAACCCCGGGGATTTTACACTGTGCATTTTCACACGTAAACGCATCCTGAAGCAGTTTGCAGTCTGCCTTTCTGTTCCTGCCTTTTTTTCCCATGTGGCTGTAATGACAAAAACAACTATCCATGTAACTGAGATGGAGTGAAAGAGGAACTCCACCCGAGACTCGGTAGTTCATCGGCGTGCGTGTGCGCATGTGTCCGCACTGCAGCTGCCTCAGCAAACCCTCAGTGTAGGACTTACACTTGCCAGTGGAAACAACACTTGGGACAACAATACTTGGAACCACCAACTTGGGAAAATATTGATAAAAGCAAAGAAAAATATTTCCAGAACCATTTCCTTCACTTGCCCATTTTCAAAGAAGTCTTTAATGGAATGGGAAAAAAGAAGATTTCAAATACATAGGGACACGGTATGTCTCCCACTGCCTGCCAGCTTCCAGGACAAGGTCAACACTGATGATGCCTCTCTCACCCAGGGTGTCTGAACACAGGGCCCTCTAGCTGAAGTCCCAGAGGCCTAGGCCACATGAACTGGGTCAGCCGAATGATAATGAAAACAAGTGTAAGGGCTGGGATCCTGGGTTCCAATAGACCCAGCTCGAGTCCTGGCCTTGCTGCTGACCAGCCAAGTAGCCAGGGTCAGGCAAGCGGAGTAACCTCCGTTTCCTCACCTGTGAGATGGACATGGGAGGTGACCTGCCTCTTACAGAGGGACGCTGCTGAGGATGTCTTACGATTACGTTTAGAGAGCTCAATGAAAGAGGCCACCGCCATTCAGGGCGTCTCTTTGCGGTGAGCACAGCGCACCGCAGGGCCTTTGCACAGGGCGTTCCTGTGGCTGGAACGCTGGTCTCTCCTGGCCTGGCCCAGCCACCCTCCCTTCACTTGTGCTCCAGCTTCAGCGTCGCTCCCACTGAGAGGCCTCCCCGTCGCTGGGTCCCACTGGGGCCTCCAGGCCCCGTTGTTCTCTCCCTGCCTCGTGCTGCCTTCCCAACACCTAACCACGTTCAATGATTTTTTATTTACTTCGTTTTTTTCTGCCGAGGGCAAACACCACTAAGCACACACAGTGTCCAGCACACAGAAGGCGCTCAAAAGATTCTGTGGGAGGAACGGCTGAGAGGCGAATGCCAAGTTGCTTGCTCAGTGCATCCAAAAGGGCCTGGATATTTAGCGCTTGGGTTTAAGTGTTTGGGGGGAGTTTTTGGCTGTGTGCTGGCCAGTCTGACCTGCCTCGTGTGTGTTTAGGAAAGCTCGCTGGCATGCTAAGACGTACCGTGAGACGTCCTTAGCGCTAACCCCAGCCCCCTGGCTGCTCCAGGAATGCGTCTGACAGCTGTCCATGGAACGGACAGGCAGCACTTGCTGACTGAATTACACACTGTCTGCGTGGAGCATGGAGAGGAACCGCGTGTATGTCCACACACGGGCATGAGTGTGGGTGCTTTCACCTCCCTGCTCCTTCAAGAGTCAGAGGCTTTCCTAAACTTCCTGGGCCCCGAGGTACACACCAAAACCACGCCCGTTCCCTGACGTGACCCCAGGCACGCAGCCTCGGAAACACGGCAGGGCTTCTTTCATTGGCCGACACTCATCCGGCAGGCTGCGCCACGTCCCCAGCAATGCCCCAGTGTGGGCTCTCCACCTGCCTGCAGGAACGTGGAAGGGTTTCCCTCTGGTCCCCAGAGCACTCGCTGTGCTTTCGAGCCAGTGGCAGAGTTTCTGGTTCCTGGCCTGGAGCCTGCCTCAGGCCACTCTAACTGGAAACCCCTCCCTCCCACCTTGACCTTCAATAGCTGGCACCAGCCCACAACCGGGACTGTAAGGGAGAGGCTGCAAACGCAAACACCGCAAACCCTGAGAGCAGGCGGGCAGGGGACACGCCTGAGTGAGGTGGGGGAGAGGAGGACGGTGCCCCCTGGAGAGGAGCTCAGCCGGTCCAGCTGATCACTGCCCCAGGGAAGCAGCAGCTCTGGGGTTGCCAGCTCTTCAGCAGTTTTTGTTTTTTAACAGAAAATCTAGGTGTTCGGCTGTCATCTACACGTTTCAATGGTTAGTGACTAAGTAAAGGGAAACAATTTGAACACGAGCAAATCAAACAAAACCTCGCACATCTGAGGGCCAGATTTGACCTGCAACCACCAGGCTGCCCCCTCTCCCTTAGATCACTGGTGGTGTAATGAATGGCAACGGGCAGACTCGGGGTCGCTTCCCGAAGGTGTGGAAAGTCAGTGGAAGCACAAGGCTTCAGGCCACCAAGCTGTAAGTCCGGGGTTACAGTAGAATCCTCCACTTTTTACTGATTCACACTTTTGTTATTTTTGAACTTTTCAAATGGTAAGCATGTGTTCCTTTTGTGCTAAAAGGAACAGAAACCTAGAAGAAGAACTAAAATTGGCTAAATATTTAACATGCTTTGTGGCTTTCAGCTCTTCTGGGCAACACGAAACAACCGACCACCCATCCCCTCCACCCGTTTGAATCGCCGATCCCAGCGGCTCACGGAGGGGCACCCTGCGCCCGGCCACGCCGGGAGACATTCCCGGCTGCCCTGATCCAGGTGGTATTCGGGGTGGGCGGCACTCCTGGCATCTTCTGGGCAGAAGCCTGGGGTGCTACGAAACACCTACAAAGCACAGAATGACTCCTCACAACCAAGAAACGCCCAGCACAAAATGTCAACAGTGGCCAAGAAACCCCAGGTTATGTGAGGAAAACACAGACTTGAGAACCTAGAACAGCGTAAGAGGCACCCAGCATCTGCAAGTGTTCTGTATGCCCGTGGAAACTGGTGATTGGCTAACGTCTTGGTTCCTTCTCTGTGGAAGCGAAAGAGAACCCTCGGAGGGTACTGTTACCCCACCACACCCGGTGCCCCACGGGGAGCTGGTTCGGGAATCTGCCCTCATTTGTCACATCTCAGCAGTACTCAGGACACACACACAGGACACACACACACACACAGAGGACACGTACCTGGCAAAGGTGATTTAGTGACGTTTGCCGTCTCAGAATTTGGGAAAACCTTCTTGACACTGGAAGGAGAAAAGAGTTTGTTTGAAATATTTGCAGGCATCACGGTCCTGCTTTGGATTTGCCGGCGCAGACTCCTTCCTGACCTGAATCTGTCTCCTCGTCCGACCGCACTCCGGTGCCCGCCGGCACAACCCGCCAGCTCTCCATTCTTTGTTCCCACCCCCCCCCCCCAACTATTTCCTAAAATCGCGGTATGTGGGGCACACATTTCAAAGTCACATGAGCAGGTGTGAGAAACGGCGGCATCAATCAACCGTGAGTAAATGCAATTATTTACTTGTCTTTCATTTAGCTAATTGCAAGCTCAATCACTTCTCCCCATAAATAATTGCAGGAATCAAGTGGAGGCTTTGAAGAAGGCCCTTTGAAAGGTAGTCTGTCCAACAGGAAAGCAGATTGAGTGCGGGGGTGGAGGGTGCTGCTAGGGGCTGCTCCCAGGACAGAGCCCTGGGCTGCACCTTGAACGTGGCTTTGCAGTCATCACCTGCCAGTTTTCGGAAATGAATCTCATGACCCATTGGCCCGTTCTGGTGGCTCTGTCTCCTACACTGACGCCGCAGGCAGATGACCCGCAGTCAGGCCATCTCGCTCCTGCGGGTTTTGAGGCAGACGGGCCACGTGCCTGCCCACAGTCATCACTGCAACAGAGCCCTCTGGAGCGGTGTGTGTTTTCACCCCTTGCCCCTTTCTGAGGTGCACCCCGGGGCTGCCCGGGAAGAGTGGGTGTCTCCAGGCACCCACGGGCAGAAGGTCCGGGAGAGCTCCTCACTGCCAGCCCTCGCCAGGTTTGTTTTGTCCGCAGGATGAACACGGGCGCGGGCATTCCTCTCATTAATCTCCGAACCGGTCACGAAGCAATCAGAAACGTCCCCAGGAGCATTGTCACTGGCGCCCTGGGCCGGCTGGGTTTGAAAAGCAGGGCGTGGGGCAGAGGAGTGGGGCGGGCGGGGGTGGGGAAGGGACAGATGAACTTCTAATTTTCCAGGCCGATCAATCGTTAATCCTCCTCCTTAATTACTTTTCCTTTAACTTTGTGATGTGGAATTTAGCGCCGGCGAAAAGAAAAGGCCCGAGAGCCGTGAAATAAAGCGGGCTTTCTCCACAGGTGACGGGCACCGCGGGCGGCCGCGCAGCAGCTGAAAGGGCCCCCTCGGCCCCGGGGAGAGGGTAATTTGATCCCCTTCACTTTTCCGGGGGGCACCGGCTTCAGGCGGAACGGCAAGCTGTATTCAAACGGGGCTTCAAGGAACATATCTCTTCAAACTGTGTGGTTTGCGTAAAATCATTTCATCTTCGAAGAGCATGTGCCTCTGCCACAAGCACAGCTGCACGGAGGCAGGGGAACAGGACCCGTGTCCCCCGGCCGCACCAGCGCTGCTGCGGAATGAGCGGTGACGCTCGGCAGAGGAAAGATTCGTGGTCCCAATCCCCTTGCGAGAAATACTAATTTGGCTTTCTCATTAGGCAGGGGATGAAATATGTGAACCCCTGAAGCTGTTTTCTGCCTCCTGCTACCACCAGTTGGTGGGCGGGGGCTCAGGGGAAAGCCCAGGGTCGGCGGGGTCAGGCAGACTGGAGGTGCACCCCGGGCCCCTAGCCGGGGGCTGAGTGGCTCTGGGGAAGTTGCTCTGCCTCCCGAGGCCCCACCCGGGGACTAGGAACCCTGCTTCCTGCACCGCAGAGGTGGCAGGAGGACTGAACAAGGAGTGCGGAGGCGATGAGCAGAAACTGGAGCAAAAACAGACAGACCCGGGGGGCAATCCTGCCTCTGCTCCTTACTCCCCGAGCTTGTTCCTTTTCCTGTAAAAGCAGGTGTGCCACCGGAATGGATGTTTTGTAAAGATTAAATAAGTTCACGATCGTGCTCAGAATACTACTTGGTGCTTCATAGTAACAAACAGGAAGTGGAAGCTATTATTAAATAGTATTTTATTAACAACCTATGTAGGAGGTTTGGCAAGAAAATGTTTCCCACCCTCTCCCGCCTCCGCTCCGTCCCCAAACTCAGTACTTACGTTCAAACTTGATGTTCCGCAGATTTTCTGGGAGGTCGTGGAGAGCCACTTTGAGCCACTCGTCCAGCTGCTTGGCGAACTTGCGGATCACCTGAGTTAAGCTAGGAAGAGAAGGGGCACGTGGTAAGTGGCTAAGCGCCTCCTGTGTTGCCCGGGCCTTCCGCTAGGCTGCAACCAACAGCAGCGACTTCAGAGACAAGGCTGGCAGCCCAGGCCCGCAGAGAGCTGGTGGGTCTGAGAAGCGCGTGGGCAGAGTGTGCTCAGGTGCCAGTGCCGGTGGACAGGGCGGCCTGGCAGGCGTGGTGTGGCAGAAGCCCACTGCAAGACTTGGCGGCATCCGGATCTCTTCCCGCCCACCAAACACCGTCGTCCGTGTTTTCTGAAGAGCCTCCTGTGAGAGCGCCGACGACGTGCCATTGGCCTCGCCTCCTCACACCGCCCAGTCCTGTCTGGCCCAGCCCCCAGCCGGACAGGATCTCCGACAGCACACCACAGGCCTGACCCCCAGCCTGCGCCCAGGCTCACCCAACTGCTTGCGGCCTGGCCGGGACTGGGAAGCAACAGCCTCTTTGTAAACTTGCAAACAACCCTGACACGGACCCTGAAATCCTATCAGATCTGGAAAGTCAAGGACGGTGTTGGAGCGGGAGGTAGGAGGGGGCTAAAGGGGTGAAAGGTCGGCTGGGGGACAGTAGGTGACAACACAAGATGGAAACTTGGGGTGGAGAAGACACTGAGCACCGTTTTCAGGGTCCCACCCGCAAAACCACCTGCTCACAGCCCGAGGCCCAGTGTCCTCCATGGAGCCTCTCCTTAGTTCCTCTCCCCACACAACAGCCAACACCCTCCTTGCCTTTCCCCGGCCCCGCCTACGCCGCCCTGTCTCCGGCTCCCACCGACTCTCCCGTGGCACCGTGATCACCGGCCTCCACCCCACGGGGCAACCCTAGCATGTTTCTCTGCTCACTCCTTCCTTCCCTTTCTACACCAAATTCCAACCTTCTCCCAAGACTCTCACACCTCCAATGCACCCCTCCCACTCCCTCCGACTCCCCCCTCTGCACTAGCAGGTGGCATCACCTATTTCTCCATAGAATCAAGGACCAACCCCCACCCCATCCTCTCCTGCCTTCCAGGAATCTTTCCATTTGTGAGTACCAGGATCCAAACGAGCTCTACTCATTGTATAACACACATAATATTGCCTTCTTCTATTTCTTAGGTCTCTTTAAGAATCTATTTCACACCACTGGTTTATTGGCACCCCTGTGTGATTCGTTCCCTGGAATGTCCCACATACTGAAGTCTTCCTCGCGGTGCATTTAACCTGTTCATCTAGCCTATGTGCTTCCTCTTAGGCCTAAGACTTGGTTAAACTCAGCCACGGTTTCATTTTTTCATAGGTGGCTGCCCATCTCATTGCATTGCGAAGCTTACAATATCTGGTTGTCTCTCTTGCAGGGCCACTGGTTGGCGACTCACACAGTCGGCCTTCCTATCATTACAGGTGTGACAGGTTTCGTCTTCAGTGCCCGCCCAGCCACATCCGCTTCTCTCTTGCCTCCCGCTTCACGCTGTCCCCGTCCTTCACCTGGGCCACCGCCACAGCTTCCCCGGAGTCTCCCCTGCCCAGCTCACCTCCTCACCTCCACCCCATCTTCCCCATTGTCCATGATGGATTTTTCCAAAACACTTGCACTTCTGATCCATTTCACTTCTGGCTAAAACTCCTCAGTGTCTTCTCATTATTTTACCATAAAAACCAACATCCTCACCATGACCCCCAAAGCTCACACTGCAGCCCCACTGTGTGTTTCCACCCGTCGCCCACATTTCCGCCCCAGCAGCCTCCGCCCAGGTCTGTGCGACCTCCGGGCCTGTGCCCCTGGCAACCTTTCATCCGAGAGCGCCCCAGCCCTTTTTCGCTCTCGGCCCCTCCTCACCCCTCTGATCTCAGACCAGATGCTATTTCCACAGGAAAACCTTCTCTGAAGCCCCCGGCACGAAGTCAGAGCCCCCAGAGATTCCCGTGGAAGGGCCCTGTGGTTGTGATGGTTGGTAATTATACGCTAACTGGTGTGATTAGCTGATCCGTGTCCATCTTTCCCACTAGGCTGCATGCGCCACTGTGTCCTTGGCACCTAGCATAGGGCCGGACACCTAGCAGGCATGTGAAAAATGTTCGTTAAGTGAAACGAATGAATGAATGCCCCAAGGTGGACAGAGCTCAGATACGTCCCCCCCACAAAACCCTTCCCAAATGTCCCCCTTTATCTCTGATTCCAGCTCCACCCAACCCCTACCCTTACCCCCATCCCCACCTTCACCGGCTCACTCCGTCCCCACGGACACCAACCCCTGTCCGTTTTTCCAGGCCCTGTGCACTTGCTGCCGCTGCTGCCAGGAAAGCTGCTGGCCCAGACAGCACCTGGCTGCCTTCCGTCCCAACTTCATAGGGCCGTCCCAGTGTCAACTACAGTATTTTTCCTTTTAGAGATTCTACTTATTTTTAGAGAGAGGGTAGTGGAGGAAAAAAGAGAGGGAGAGCAACACTGATGTGAGAGAGAAACATCTATCGGTTGCCTCTCCGACGCACCCAGACCAAGGCCCGAACCTGCAACCCAGGCACACGTCTGGCCGGAAATCGAACTGGCGACCTGTCGGCTCTGCGGGACAATACCCAACCCACAGGCCAGGGCAGTGCTGACTACAGCATTGGAAATGGCCAGTCTCCCCACTCTCTCAGCTCCCCCCACTATCGCAACACTCTGGATCCTGCCCGGTGGTTTTGAAAGACGACTTCGGTGTCTGTGATGAAAATCAACTGCAGGAGGGCGAGGATAGAACAGGGAGATCTACTCAGAAGTTACTGCATTAGTCCAGGCAAGAGAAGGGCCCGGATGAAGGTGTTCATAGTGGAAACAATGCAACGCGGTCAGATTAAAACATTCTGCAGGCAGGGCCACCAGGATTTCCTCCGGCCCCGGTGCGCGGATGTGCGTGGATGAGGAAAGAATGACGCCAAGTGTGTCCTCCTGAAAGAAAAGGGCTCAGGCAGCCCCTGTGCCTAGCAGAGTGTTGGATACACAGAAGGTGTTGAATAAATGCTGAATGCTGAGGGAACCCAAAGTACTGCACATCTAATAAAGCAAAAGAGGTAACAGTAGCACATTGGATCCAACTCTGAGACAATATCTTCAGAACATTTAGCTGCTCTCAACGGGAAGGTCAGAATTTGGAGGAGAGTTTGGAGTGCCCCTCCTATGGCTGCTGGACCGTCCGGGACGGTGGGCTTGCCGTTCTCCATCCCTGACACGTATTCAGGAGGATCACTCACGGCTGGAATGGGGGAGCTGGCTTTCTGTCCGGGAGCAGGAAGTAAGCAGCAGGATCGCTGATGGGGCCTTTTGCTCGGTGCAACTGTTCGACTTTATTAAAGCTGAAGGAAAGTAAGGAGGGATTCAGCCTGGAAAGGATTCTGTTTTAGGACCCAGACATGGGACTGCCGGACTTTCAGGAGAAATCTAAATGTTCAGCTGCTCTGCTTGGGTGTGGAAGGAGCTGGCCTCCCTGATCACCTGGTCTGAGGTGCTGCCTAGCCCCCCCACCTGCCTGCAGCAGCAGCACCCCGCTTCCCGACATCCTCTCCTCCCACAGTGTACACCCTGCGGCCCGACTCTTCCTTGCTGACTTACCCTTGTCTCCCCGCCCCGCCTCCCTCCCCAGGCTGGCACTCCCCAGGCCGCCCTGCACTCCTGCCCTGAAACACCTTCTCCTCCCTTGTGTGCAGACGGTGCCCACGTTTGTGGCTCCAGCGTCTGCCCTTCTCCTGCCTCTTAATTCCAAGTTATAAAAACAATTCAGTGTAGAACACCTGAAACATGCAGAGAAGCATAACCCTAAAATCGGACCTTCACCAGCCTATTTTGGTATGCCTCTGTTCCACCAAGGATGTGGAAAATGGTAAAGAGCATCACTCCCACCGTAAAAAGAAAAAGCCAGATGACCTTGAAAGTCATGACTCTCTGTTCACCCATCAGAGAGCTGAGGTCACACTGCCTGCCTGGAGTCTGTGGAAAGACAGGCACCTTCACAAAGAGGGGACCCAGGAACTGGCTTGGCTGTGCCTGCTGGAGGGAGGACAGCAGGACGTCCCGCGCCCAGTGAAAAACACTCGGCTCCAGTTGCTCAAGGCCAAGTGTGAGATAGCATGAGAGCGTCTGGAACTCTGGGAGCCACAGATGCAAAGGAAGTTTGCGTCTGCTCACCAGATCTCCACGGACCTGGCCAGACGCTCTCGAGGAAGACTGGGGGCAGGACGGGGGAGCGGAGAAAGCCCATCTCTGAGGTGTATGCCTGGAGGAGGGGCGCAGCTGCTGCTGCGGAAAAAGCATGAGGCCCGCCCGGGACACCTCTTCCTTAAGGCACAGAGGCCACAAGGGGCTGGAGGAAGAAGGGCAGAAAATGCTGGTGGCCTGGGCACACAGGGAGAAACTCACAGCAGGTGGGGGAGGGTAAAACAAAAAAGCTTTCTGACCTTGGTAGACACCATCCTGGGCTCAGACTGTTAAAGAGATTCATCTCTGGGGTGGGGCATGGTCACTGAAAATGCCCAGCTCTGATTGCCAAAAACCACGGGGCTTACCTGAGACCGAGTCAGGATAACAGCAAACCCGCCCTCTCTCACCCCATCCCCAAACAGGCTGACCAGTGCCGCAGAGGTCCACAGGGGAGACCCAATGCTGAGGATGTGGCAGGAACATTGAGAAAACCCCTCAATAAACAAATTGCCAACCTAAACTCAAGGTACCCCCAAAGAATTCGAATTTGCTGGTACACTGATGGTAACCATAGCAACAGCAAGCCCCAAACCCAATGAACTCTTGAATAATCTGACTCAATTTCTGCCATTGACAGCCTAGGAGAAGAAAAGGCATGCTCATTTCCAGGCATTAACACTACAATATTTACCTCAGTTTGCACTGTTCCATATCCTGTTTGGCTATCAACACAAAATTGTAAGACACACAAAACATGAAGAAAAAGAACCCACTCTCAAGAGATAAAGTAATCAACTGAACCAAACTATCAAAGAGGGAAT